ATGACGGCGAGGCTGGTGTGAGTGATGAAATCCGTGGCCATCTTGGGACGGGTGCCGCGCTGGGTTGCTTCACGCGGGATCGCAGGAAGGTGCTGTGCATCTTGCCGATGGTGTTGTTGAGCAGGATGCCGCGGTATGATTTCTGGAGCTCCATGGCCCCCTGCCCCTTGTGGAAATACGTGGAGTACCCACCCTTGGCGGCGATCGGCTCGGTGCTCTCGAAGTGGGTCTTGGCTGGGACGGGGTGGAGCAGGCGAGCCATCCCTTCAGGGCTGGCTCTGGACATGTCGTCGGTGAGCTGGTCAGGGCCTCCTCGGTGGCCTCGCTTGGCGGCGGCGAGCTGGCCGGTCAGCTGGTGCTTGGGTATTGCGTTTTGGATCTTAGGTCCTGGCCCTGCGCGGCGGGTCCTCTTGTTGCAGTCGGCTGCTACCCCGTCTGCATCCTTGGCAATAGCTTGCTCAATGTTGCCGTAGAAGGCTAGGGCGTGGTCGGCGATCTCACTCTTCTCCGTGAGGGGCTACCCGTCGTCGTTGGTGCGGATGATGGGCGTCGGCGGCTTCTTTGACTTTCGTCCTCCGAAGGCCAGTAGTCGCTTGGCGTACAGGGCCCCTAAACGAGGGGCGTGGTCGTCAATCGCTGCACACATCTCGTCGGCGGTTCTCTCAAGGAAGTCGTCGCGGTCTGTCGTGGTCCACTTCTGTAGGGTCGACTTAGACGTCCTGGGGAATTGGGGGAGGGCGTCAAAGTAGTACTGGGCGCTGTGCTCGGTGTTGGCATCGTCGGGTTCCACGACATGGGACGCTAGGCTGGGGGTGCTGAATATGATAGAGGCCACCACGAGTTCCACGTAGTCGCTGAGATCGGCCAGGGCACTCACGTCGGCGGGGTCGGGCAGGAGGGCTTCCCTCGCGATGATCTTTGCGGTGTAGCGTAGCCTCTTGTAACCGAAGTGGCTGGCAATCCCGCTTCTCTTGGCGATCCGTGTCGTCTTGAGTAGCGAGCGGCGAACTCACAGGAGAGCAAAGGACCGCCTGGTGATGTAGGGCTTGTGTGGAGCGCGGCTGTTGGAGCGGAAGCACTCGTACGCGGCCTCCGTGATCTTCTCAGTGACTATGGTGAGGTGCTCGTTGAGGTTGGCGTCCCAGGGTGCGCGTTTGACCTCGTCGAGTTTTTGGCAGAACTTTTTTGCGGCACCCTTCGTCGGCTAGCTTGCTCTCGTCTAACTTCGGGATTCCTTTGGTGGCGGACGAGATGAGCTGGTAGGCAAGCTGCAGCTTGACTGGGTAGTGGTCGTCCTTGGTCTCTGGGTCCTGGCCGCTGTCTATGCCGTAGAGCACGGCGCACTCCTCGATGGAGTCGATGTAGCCTTTGGGAATGATGACGTAGTCGATGCGATTCAGGGTCCTTGCCCGAGTGCCAGGTGTGATGCTCTGGTCCATGGCTGACGAAGGTGTCGGCGGCCGCCAGGTGGTTGGTCAGGAGAAGCTCATGTAGACGGTGTCCGTTTGGGTCCTCGTTTTGCTTGAAGCCCTTGTCGCCGATGGCCGTGCTGGTGATGTTGCCTGTCCTGGCAGTTGCGTCGGAGAAGATGATGCTAACTTGGCGCGTTTCAGTATTCCCCGCGAGCTTCTTCCAGTAGCTATCCTTCTCGGTCGCGAGGGCCTCCGAGTGCGGGGCATGGGCGACGGCAAGCACGTGGATGAAGCCCAGGGCGGCAACGCGAACGATAAGGAGCCTGGGGTCCTTGACGGTGACTGTGAACTGGTCAGGTTTGAAGAAGAGCTCCTGTTTGCCGCTCTTGCCGCAGGGTTTGCTGAGTAGAACATGAAGCTCGCAGCCGTAGTTGAACCCTTTGCGGCCGCTGGAAATGATGTGGTCGCAGTTGGCGTTGGCGCATCTGGCGTCGTCGTCTTGTCCTGCGTCGCGGACGCCCCAGGGCGTCCTTGCCTCCTGGATACCAATGATATGGAGGCCCTCGTCGTACAGGCAGGCCATCGTGGACTTAAGCTTGTTGATATTCTCTTTTCGACGCTTCGATCCTTCCTTTGGCTCTCTCCCCGACTGGATGCTGAAGGTGGCGATGTTTATTTCTACGAGAGTCTTCTTGCCGCTGGACTCGGAGGGGTTGTGAAAGTGTCGGGCCTCGGCGGTCGTCTCGACCTTGTTAGCTGCAAGGTTGCCGTGGCCGAATACGGGGTATGCCTCCCTAGTGTTGGGATCCGCGTCGATCAGGAACTCCCAGTCCCTAAGATGCGCCATCCATGACGCTTGCCCACCCTGGCTGAGGAGATATAACTTCTTGCAGGCGTCCGCGGTTGGCGGCGGCGTCGGCAACCTCGTTCCACGGGTTGTCGTCGTGGGCGCGGACGTGCTGCAGGTCGATCTTGTTGCTGACCATGTCGTAGAAAATGCAGAGTGTCCTGACGAGCTTGGGGTCGTGGTCGGTGAAGGCCAGCCACTTCGCGAGCTGCAGAGCGCCGAGCGAGTCCGTGGATATCGTGGTGATGTGAAGGGGGTTGTAGTGTATCACCCAAGCGAAGGCCCATATCAGGGCTGTGATCTCGACGGTCGTGGAGGTGGTCTCGTGCTCGACGTTGTCCTTGATGGCGATGTCGGTGCCGCTCTTGTGCTTCCCTATGATGGCCCCCTGGAAGCTGAAACCGTGGTTGTCGTCACCTACGATCACAACGGACCAGGCGTCGTCGCTCGGCTTCTCCGGGTTTTTGGAGCCGTCCGTGAAGAGATGGATAGTTGCTCCTTCCTGGAGTGGTCGTTGTGGGTGGTGACGGAGCATGTAGTCGGCTGTCTCGTTGAGGCACTCGTCGCAGAGGTCAGAAGTGATGTGGGGAGATGGTGATTGCTGTATCGTTTGTCGGATGGTTGGTCGCTCGTCGAATTGTACGCTGCGCTGCTCTGGCATCGGGGGTGGCATGTCGGGTGATGTCGTTGGCTGGTTGAGCGGTGCTGGGGGCTTGAAGTTGGTGGCTCTGAATGGTTGAGTGGCCTTCCCTCTTGTTCGGTGTAGGCTCTGGCCAGCAGTATGTGTCTGTGCTTGGGCGTCGAACAGTCGCGTTGCTGTTGGGGGGAGGGGGATAGCAGTGGTTCGAGAGCGGAAGGGTTGCATGGCGCGTCCCCTATCGGTACTCCTGGCGTCTAGGTATGTGGCTTCGATGTCGTAGATCTCTCGTGGATCTATGCAATTGGCTGCCTCAGGGACGGTTGGTGCTGCGTCGGCTCCTCTGGGCGTCTGCGCCGCTTGGCTGCGCATCCAGGGCATCTGCAGTGGCGCAGCTGTTGGTCCCGTGGCGTTGGCTGGCTTGGCCTCTGGTGGGCCGTTGGAGGTCCTGTGGTACTCTCTAGGGGGAGAGTATGGCGATGCAAAGAGGCCGGCCTCGGGGAGTCTCCAAGGTCCAGCCGATGGTGGCCTGTGGAGTAAGTTTTGGTGCTGCTCCTCAGGTTGTTGCAGTCCTTGCTGATGCGGCAGCTGCAGCCCTTGCTGCTGCTGGCGTCGGCTGGCCTCCTGGTGGGGCTCTTCGTTAGGCGCTTCATGAGAAAATTGGTGCGGCGCCTTTGGGCCAAAGTGGCTGGTCGCCTGGTTCGCCTGCTGCTGGGCGCGTCTCTTGGGAGCGGGTCGGTCGGGTCGATGGGGGGCTAGCCCCGTCTGGCCTCGCTGGCCGCCTGGGTGGGGTGGTTGGTGCACTGCAGTTGTCGGCCGAGGGGGTGGTCCTCGGTCCGATGGTTGGTGCAGTCGTGGTTGCTTGTGCCTGCGCGCTGCCATGGTCGTAGCGCTGGTCCCAAGGCGCGGCGGCTGAGTATATTACCCACTCGCAGATAGCGTTGAAGCTAATGGTTCTGCTTTTTTGTGTCGCAGTCGCTGGTTGCGGAGTGCAAGGTTGCGCGGCCGCGGGCGTCAGGCGGCGTGCTAACCCACAAGCTAACACCGCTGAGGCGGACGGCGGCCTCCCAAGAGGGGCCTGTGGCTGTAAAGGCGTCTGGGCCTGTCGCTGAGTGTCTGGCACCGCATGGGTCGCACAGCACATCTGCTGGGGCGCAGTGGTTGATCCGTCGAGCTGGTGGTTGCGTAGAGCCACTCTGAGCGGGCTAGGTGCTCGGTCTTCTGGTAGGGTTGTGGTGGGACTCCCCCGCTGGGCCAGTTGCCCCCCAGCGGGGGAAGTCCTGCTCAGTTTTTTGTCGTGTCAGAGCTTGAACCCGAGCTGCCCTCTTGACTCTCGGGGTTGAAGCGCCTGCGGTCCATTGGGTTGTCGAATCCGTCGCCGTCATCCAGGATCCGTACCTTGCGCGCGTGCCTGCTGTGAGTGATTGCCCTTCGGAGTGCCGGTGGTGGTGCAGATCTGGCACGGTCGGGAGTGGCGATGTGGAATCGTGCTGGAAGTGGCTTCGGGGAATATGGTTGGGTGGGTGCGATTGGGGAGCCGACTTCGAGCGTAATGGGAGAGCGTGGGGGGGAGTCAGGGTTCCCCAATAGGGTGGTCTGTGCGTGGGACGGTCGGACATGTCGTGGGGAAGTGGGATCGTCGGGAAGCGGCAAGGACTGCGCCCTCTGTAGGGGGGCGGCCATGGGTGTCGGGGGGGGCAGGAAGGGGCCTGCTCCCCAGGAGGCGATTGGTGTCGGTTGCTCGTCGGGGGGGGGGTCGGCGATGCTCGGACTGTCGGAGTGTGTGTTGAGTCGCCGAGGTCGTGGTCGTTGGGGTCGTCGAAGCTCTGGTCCTCTGCGTGTCGTGTGGGATGTGGTGTGGATGTCTCGGCCACGAATCCTTCGTACGTCTTCGGGGTCTTCTGGGGCGCCCCATCTCCCGCAACTGGCGTCGGAGCAACTCCCGAGGGGGATGCGAGGTCGATGGGGGGGCCAAGTGGTTGCGGTGTCGTCGCTGGTGGTGGGAGTGGTGATGGGCGGTGTGCTGGTGCTTGCGTCTGCTGGTTGTTGTGCAGGTCGGTGGCCTGGCAGGGCTTTGGAGTCGCAGGGCGCGCGCAGTTGTCGCCGAGGTCGACGGAGCGATCCTCGATGTTCTCGCTCCCACAGCGCCTGCACCTGATGATCTCCGTCTTGGCGCTGGCGTAGTTGCCGCACGACTTGCAGAGGCTGCAGTAGAAGGGCGGCGTTAAGCCATTCGGAGATCCTGAAGATGAGGGAGCGCCGCGATGCACTGCAGCGTTCGGGGTCTCCATCTGGATTAGCTCGGCGTAGTACGATTCACGGGTCACGTCGTAGTCGAACTCGTGCGACGGAGCGATGGCGTGGAGGGCGGAGCGCATGCTGTCCCGCTGGTAAGCCTCCTCGTCGTCGGCTTGGGCTTGCATCTTCTGCTTCTCGTTTTCCGTGGCGAGCGCACTGGCGACGCCGTCGAGCATGTCGGCATCGTTCCTGGGTGCGATGCTGTCGAGCTGCTCCCGCAGAGTCTTCTCGAGAAGTGATTGGTGCACTCGATGCTCTTCCTGTTGTCGGGCCAGCTGTTCACGATGATGCTCTTCCTGTGATTGTCTTTGTGCCTGCGCGGCTTGTAGCTCGGAGTTGGCGAGCTGCTGCTGCTGGTGCATCTCTGCCTCGTATCGGCCGTATCTCTCCAGGAACTGCTCACGTTGATGCTGGTCGTACTTGGTCCTGTGGTGCATCTGCTGCTGGAGAGCCTGAGCCTCGTTGAAGAAGAGCTGGTGCTGCTGGGTAGCCCGTTGGTGCTCCGCTTCTTTGGCTTCGAGCTGGTCACACTTGTTCTGGATGTGGCGCTGCGCCTCGAGCTGGAGCTCCGCCTGCTGATAGACCACCTCTCGCTCCCTCTGGACTGTGTAATGTTCCTCGAGGAGCTTGTTGGCTGCGATGGGGGTCTGCTGCTGGATCACGTGCTCCTGTTGGATCTCCTCTCGCTTGAGGTCTGCTTGGGCTTCCGCGATCTGCTCAGCTATGTCGTTCTTCCTTTGCATCTCCTAGGCCGCCATGACTTGCACGGCCTGCTCCTCGAGACGGAGGTCCTGGTTCACCTGCTCGATCCTCTGGCCCTCACGCTGCAGTCGTTCGCACTCGCGATGAAGTTGTTCGCTCATCTCATGCTCGCGGGCTGCGACCTCAGAGGTTGGTGCAGTGCGCGCCAGGGAGGCCGTCTCCGCTCGAATGGCGTCCAGCATGTGGTAAGCCTCCTGGCGCTGCTGCTCGTAGGTGAGCGTCTGACGCTCGAGGTCGTGTCGCAACGCGCGCTCGTGGTTCTCGATCCTCTGCGCTTCCTGCTGCGTCTTCTCGGCGTAGAACTTGTGTAAAAGCTCTTCTCGATGTTGGGATGCACGCTCTTGCTGAGCTTCTTTTCGGCGGAGTGCTTGTTCGGTGGCGTTCATGGCCGTCTTGGATAGCCCCTGCTCGTGATGCACGAGCCTGTCTCTGTTCTGCATTTTCAGTTCGGCACAAAGCACTGCCGCATGGCCTCCACCTCCTCCTCATATTCTTCTGACTGTTCTCGGAGCTCGGCGTTGGCGATGCTGGCTTGGTTCTTTCCTTCTCGGCGTGCTTCCTCGTCTTTCCTCCTGAGCTGTTCTGCGATAGTGCTTGATGGGGAGGCCGACCTGCTCGAGCATGAGGAAGGAGGCTCTCGGCTGGCGCGACGGCGAAATTGGGTGCTGGCCCTTTTGTTTCTTTGCTTTTTCCTGTCGTCCTCGGAGTCGGCCTCGCAATCGGTGTCGGCTTCGGCTGCGATCTCCATCTTGACGTCTGTGATGAGGCGGCGCAGGTCGGAGATGCGCTGGGTGTTGGCGTCCGCCTTTGTCTGCAGGGCTTTCTTCTTCTCATGGATATCTTTCTGCTCCTTTGCCAGCACCTCTATATGCGACCGGTATTGTTGTAGCCGTATTCGTGGATCAGTGGCCATCGCGAGCATGCATTTGATGACCGAGGCCTCTGTGAGCAACTTGCTGGCGTCAACCTTGGCAGACTGGGCGCCACTGATCTGATCTGCAACTCGGCCAAACCTCTGTTGGAGGTTTCTCGTCCAAAGCTTCCGCATGTCTGGATCCTCTGGCGGGAGGCCGAAGGACTCGTGGTCGCGAGATATGGTGAAGGGAAGCTCCAGCACTGCGTCGGCGATGACCTGCTGCCTCTTGCTGAGGATGTAGTCCTGGATGTGGACGGCGGCCTTCGTCCTCGAAGCGGGACGGCTCCAGGACCGCTTGCTGGGGTACTTAGAGCTCCTCCAAGGCCATGGCTGCTCGCCCACTGCGGGCCCAGGGTGTGTGGTCCCTGCTCCTGACCACCTTTCCCCTGGGCCCCGCGCGGGCGCCTGGGTTGTGGACCCTGCTCCTGTCCACCTTTTCCCAGCGCCGCGCTGCGGCGCCTCGGGGTGTGTGGTCCCTGCTCCTGACCACCTTTCCCTCGAGGCGCCGCGCTGGTGCTTCCAGTCCTGCGTCATCTGGTCGACGGGCTGGGCGCTGTGGTGGCCGTTCAGCACCTGCGCCGCGTCGACGATTCGGAAGAGTGTCCTCGCGGCTGCTCTCTTCTCCCGCTGCCGCCTGTGCCAGGCGGGCTCGCCCTCGCGGGGCGTGGCGGCTACAACCGCTGCGGTTTCGGCGCCGATGGCGCGCTTCGCGCGGCCACGAGCGGCGGGGGCGACCGACGAGACGACGGCCCCTCCCCTCCTCAGCCCGTGGCTTCCTCCTCCTCCTCCTCCTCCTCCTCCTCCTCCTCCTCCTCCTCCCCTTCCTCCGCCTCCTCTCTCCGCCTCCTCCTCCTCCTCCTCCTCCTTTTCCTCCTCCTCCTCCTCCTCCTCCTCCTCCTCCTTCTCCTCCTGCTGCAGTGCAGCCTTGGTTTTCGCAACCGCAGATACGGCCAGCAGTCAATCGAGCCTGGCCGGCCCTTTGTCAAGCATTTGCAGGGCATGGCTCCAGAGCGTCGTTCGCGATGGGCTCAGGGACCCATATCTGCTACCAGCATCACGTTGTTGGAGAGGGGTTGGTCACCAGGGTCCCCGACCTGCTGGCATCTGTTTGATGAGATCTGGTGGCAGTTCCAAGGAGATACTTCTGTCACGAGGCAGCGCTCAACATCTTTAACGTTTTTTTTCACGATATAGCCCATCGGGTCAGCATATTGGATCAGAGCTTCCCGACAATTCTACGGGGCTGGTCTGGCCCAAGGCGCTGACGAATGTTCACTGCTGATGTTATTGAAGTATCGTTCTGCTTTCCACGCTTCCACGTGGGAGGCGACTGGCTGAGACGCTCGTTTCCATCGCTGCTGGCGGAGCGTGGCCGAGGGAGAGGCTGGCCGCAGTTGCTTCCAAGGCCAAGATCAGCCCATGGCGCCCGAGGTGTAAGGATTGTCGGGGGACGGCCTTTCACCGTAGTAGTTGGAGTTGTTGCAGGGGCGAGGGGTCAGAGGCACACGCCAAATTCAACGACCCTCTTCCCAAGGCCCTGACGCAGCACGAAGTTGATGCAGCGTTCTGGCTGAGGGGTGCCGTCCCCCGTGCCTGGACGGGGGTGCAGGCGCCGCCGTCGCAGGAGCAGCTCTGCGGCAGCGGGGCGCTCAGGAACGGCCTCGCCAGGGGCTGTTTCGGCCCCGGCGCGGCCCACGCACCCATATCGTGCTCTTCGGCGAGGCCAGCGGCGTGGGGCGCGGGCTCGCCCAGGCCCACTCCGACGCGGAGCTCACGCTGGAGGCGGCGCTGACGGGGCCACTGCCAGGAGAACATACGGTTCTCCGAGGAGAGTCTCACATGCTGCTGATGGCGGCTCGCCTCACGACCGGTTACGCAGTATATCTTGGCATCGCTCGGACGTGTGCATGTTTCCTTCGGCGAGGACCATCGAGGAGCATCCTTGATCATTTGGCGAAAAAAACCACGCACGAAACCGAAAAAAACACAGGGAATGGACGTCCGAGCGATGGCCAGTACATGTGACGGGCAAGAAGACTGTATACGACGGCCAGTACGCATGCAGGTGTTGCAAGCCGCACGGTGAGCTGGCAGAGTTGTGGGTTCTCGGTTGGGCTCGAAGTTCAGCGGAGGGAGCTGTCCCATTTCGTGGCCCTCTTCGCGGAATCGCACCAGTCGGCGGAGCAGGTCGTCGCCAGCGGCCCGCCCGCCCAGCTGGTGTGCAGATCGACGAGCGGGCTGGCGGGTGCAGAGGCAGGTGGAGAACCAGGCCGCCCTGGTGCGCGTGCGGCTGGTCAGGGCAGCGCCGGACTCGCTGGCGGCCGAGGAGCAGGAGTGGAAGAGCGCCCGCCATGAGCACAGGGAGCGGGTGGAGGCCGTGAGTGAGGGTGTCCCCTCACCTCCCCCTCTTCTTCCTCCTCCTCCTCCTCCTCCTCCACCTCCTCCTCCGCCGTGCTCCGATGCCGTGTCTATTCTCAGCAGCTCTCCCGTCCTGGACGAGTCGGGGCGTCGGTGCCGTCGGTGTCGGGGGTCCTCGTCGATCTCCGAGCAAGAGAAGTGGAGAGCCTCGGCGTGGTTCAAGCTGGTTCCATTGCGCGGCTCGCGTAGGCTTCCCTTCGCCAAGTCGTCGGATCCGCGGACGCGCTTGAAAGCCTTCCGTTTGCGAGGTGGGAACGCGTTCCAATCCAGTATTAAAGTGTGCCGCAAGTGGTTGCTATGTTGTGGGAGGGAGGGTTGGAATAGGCGGGAAACCCTGACTCTTTCTACCTGGCGAACTTGACTCGTAATCGTACTCCTCATCCTCCTCTTCTTCCTCCTTCTCTCCCTTATATTCCTTCTCCTCCTCTTCGTACTCGTCCTCATCCTCTTCTTCTTCCTCCCCATCTCAATGCTACGTGGACTGCTCCTCCCCCTCCTCCTCCTCCTCCTCCTCCTCCTCCTCCTCCTCCTCCTCCTCCTCCCGCTCCTCCTCCTCCTCGTCCTCCTCCTCGTCCTCCTCCTCGTCCTCGTCGTCCTCCTCCTTCTCCCAAAATGTCCTCTGAGATGGGCCCCCTTTGGGTTGTTGGACTCTCTCTCGCTCTCTCTCTTTCTCCCCCTCAGTGTTGTTGGCGTGCAGTCCTCCTCCTCCTTCTTCTCCTCCTCCTCCTCCTCCTCCTCCTCCTCCTCCTCCTTCCTTCCTCCCCGATGACCTAGAATGACACCCCCGCCCCCGACGGCGGCATCCGCGAGCATCCCTGGGACGGTGGTGCGTGGCCTCCGTTCTTTGGTGACGTGGGCGCCCCGGAAAGGGCCCCTTTAAGAGGCCGAACATTGCCAATGTGGCAGTGTTTGGCTTCGCGGGAGCCGTCCGTGGCGCGGTGCGCACCAGGCACAGACGTTGTTTTGATGCTCCGTGTGTCCTCTTCCTCTCCTTCCTCCACCTCTTCTCGCTTCGATCGTCTATATTCCTCTTCTTCTGCTTGTTATTTTTCTTCTGAGTATGATTCGTATTCTTAGTATTAGTACTAGTCGTCTTCTTATGTTTAGGATTTGTATTCGTATTATCCTCATTTTTCTTAACATTACACTAGTCTTATTCTTAGTGTCATGATTCCTTCTGCCGAGATCGCGATTTCCGGTGGCTAATTCATGACAGCGGCTAGTAGCCAGGGCACTTTGATTGGCCAGCGCATTCCGACGGCTCCCCCTTGACTTGGCAGCTGATTGTGGATATTTCGCGCCGTCGGATATCAAATGCCCTTCACACCTTCCTGCCTCTTTTCTCCTCCCTCCTCGTGTCTCCCCCTTTCCTCTCCTCCCCCTCCTCTTATTCCTGTCATCCGTTTCCTCTCTCTCTCTTTCTCTCCCTCTCCTCCCCTCCCCCCATGGCACCCCCCCTCCGCCCCGTTCATCCTTTCCCTGGCACACTCCTCCTTCTGCCCTGCCTCCATCCCTCCCTCGCCCTTTCCACCTCGTTGCCTCCCTCCCTCGCCCAGTCCTCCCCTCTCTCTATTAATATTTCTCTCTCTCTATACATATACATATATATATACATATATATATATATATATATATATTAGTCAGAGTCTCCCGGCGCCTCCTCCAGCCATCCCTACCTCTCTCGCCCGTTCCTTGTGTTTTTTCAGTCATCCCTGTCTCCTCCGCCCATTCCTCCTACACCTTCATGTCATCCCTCTCCTCCTCACCCCCCTCCCCGCTTATACTTTTTCCTCAGAGGAAGAGGTTGGAGGCGCCAGGGGGGGAGAAGAGAGACGAGGAGAACGTACAGGGCGATGGGGCAGGAGGAGCAGGTGGAAGGGAGGGAAGAGAAGGGGAGAGGAGAGGGCTTCTCCTAACAGAGCGGGTCAATCCCTCCAACCGCCCCTCGGCCACGGGACCGGCGCGTGTGGCCCCCGTTTTGGCTTCGGCAAGGCAAAACAGTGCAAGGCGGTCTCCAAGATAGCCGCCAAGGTGACACGCGATGACACAAGGTGGTCCAAGATGGCCTCCCTCCACTAGGCCTCCAAAAGGCCCCAATACCGCCACAAGACGGGACGATGTGGCCACGGAGCTTCCCTACAGTTAGTGGGCTGCTTTGCTAGTGAGATTTTTGAGTGGCTGGTTTCGTGTGTGTGTGTGTTGGTTGAGACCGAGTTTCGAACGCCCGCGCTCCGTATCGAATGCACTGATGAAGCGCGCACCAGTATCTGCTGGAACGCTCGCGCTCTGTAAACGTGCAGTGCAGGAACGCACGCCGTGGGGTGCTGGAGCAGTGCCCCCCGTAACAAAGAAGTGCTGGAACCCGTGGGCTGCTGGAACGTTGTCCCTCGCGAGTTCTGGCTACTGGAACACACGCCGTGGGCTGCTGGAGCGCTTCCCCTCGCAAGATGTTGGCGCTGGTGCGACACACCGTGTAAGCTTTTGTGAAAATATCCATAGGAGCGGGGATGAGGTAGTGGGCGCGGCGGGGAGCGGGGTTACTAGCCTTTTGCGCACGCCTCGCTCTCAAACGGGGCCCGTTGCTTACACGCCCTGCCGCACGTGTCGTAGCGCCGCGTGGTGTGGGTGGCTTGGCATCGCTGGGACGTGTGCATTTTTTTACTCGGCGAGGGCCCTCGAGGACCATCCTGGACCATCGAGCAAAACAAACACGCACGAAAACGAAAAATGCACGGGAAATGGACGTCCGAGCGACGGCAAGGTGGGTGCATGCAGGCTGAGGGGGTGTGCGCGGGTGCGTGGTGGGTGTACGAGTGCGCGTGCGCCTGGCGTGGGCTGGCGGGCGGGCGCGCGCACGTCCGCGCGCGCGCGGGGAGCAGGATAAGAGTCTGGAGGAGAAGCCGGGGGAGA